AGTCATCATCAGGAAAAACTTTGCAAGCTCACGATCGATTATAATATGATTACAATGTCCAGAATCCTCAAAATCAGTCGTAAGCCATTATAGAAGGCCCGCCTGAAATTTGGACAGTTCGCGATCGTCTCGCGATCGTCGAAATCGCTTGCAAGACTTTTCAAGTTGGAAATCATTACGGCGATTGCAATGGATTGTAATGTATTGTAATACCCTCGTGTCAAGGGTAGCTACCCGTTCATCCTGCACTTGCAATTGCATTGCATACAGATGGTTTGCTCCAGGCTGGTGAATGAACGATAGATAATATTGAGAGGATAGCTAATACAGGATGGCAAGCCTGCCTAGAAACCGTATGAACCCTCGCAAAACCTACGTACACGCCCGGTACACGTTGCCCCCAGCTTGAAGACTCCAGTAGCCGTAGTGTACGCACCGTAAAGATCAAAACACCTAGGTTGAACTGAGAAACAAACGACAACGGTACGGTAGTAGCTACGCACCGTGAAAGCAAACAAATGGGCCGTGGCGCACAACAGCGCACACCGGCGAGGGTGGGCGACTTTGACCTCCTCCGGGAAATCTAGACGGGCCGGGGTTGTAGGTGGGTGACGTTCACATGAGGGGAGGATGCGGTGTGACGTCCGCGTCGAGGCCAAGTGACAGCGGCTACTCGTAGACTGTAGCACGCCGAGCATTAAAAAACATGAACCATGCTCTGGGCATAACAACCCGTGCGCAACATGAGCGACACTTGCAAACAGCAAAGAGCGAAAATGAAGGCCCAACATGACGGGCAGAATAAGTCCTCAGCGGACTGGGGACGAACAGACGGAGGGGAGCACGGACAACGATGATGGGGGATGAAAAGATGGAAAAAGATATCGCGAGGCGACGTACCAGCCATTATCAGTCGAGCGCACGGACCATTTTGATCGAGGCTCCAACTGGCTCCAAGTTACCGCAATTGAAAGCCGCACGCCGGGTGCTGGCGCTCCCGTTGACGAGGTCGTTCTGCAGGCGATCACCCGGTGTGAGGCTTAAGGATCTCGAGGACGCAGTGAGGCTCCCATGCTGGCAGTTGGCCAGAGCGTATGACGAGAACAACTCAGATAATACGGCGAGCAGATGGAACCAACGAGGAGCTCATAACATGGATGGAATAGCAGTGTAATTGTCGAAAGGAATGATGAAAGTGACCAGAGGATTGCGAGCAGATT